CTTACCATTTTGCTTTGTTACTGGGTTCCCTTACAACGTAACCAACCAACACAAAGGGGTACCCTTTCATAAGATGGTGACTGGGGCTACCGGTTCGAATAGGAAGTATCGAGGGCGTTACAGGCTTCATGTCGAGCTTAGGGGCTCACGAGAGTATAAGGTTTGGGCTGCTCAGAGTTTTTCTCACTTTCAGGCTTTGGCCCTTGCAGGTTCGGGTTCTTGTAGAGATGAGGGTGCTTGGGGTTTTGGGGGCGCACATGGTCTCAGGGCTCATATCTTGGGGTTGGTCTGGGACCTTTTTTTTCCCATGGGAATCCTTTCGGGTCGAGCGTGCTCCTACTTTTCGTGACAGAAGGCTTCGTTTTGGACCTGTCAGCTGGAGCTTGGAGGGCTTTCCGGGCGCACGCGCCAATTTGAGGTGCTCGACCCGAAATCCCCACAAATATGATAGCCCCAGTACAATGTGTAGTTGACTCTGATCCCTAAATCCTATAACCTATAACCTAGAACCCTAGAACCCTAGAACCCCAAACTGTGTAGGTTTCAGAGTTCAGGGTTTCTTGCCCCTCGAGTGTCTTGGGCTCTGCAGGGAACCAAGTCAGAGACCCTGGAACCCCCGCAGACATGCCCCAGGAGTGATAGGGTTTAGGGTTTAGGGTTCAAGGAAAATTTCCTTAGGGTAAGGTCCTTCTCTCTCTATATATGTATACGTATATATTCATATTTGTTTTAGCAGGGGCCTCTAAGCCCAAAAGTTGCAATCCCTGAGCCTTAAGTAGGGCAGGTAACCCCATTGAAAGAGAACGGGAAGCCCTGCACCCCAACCTCAAAACCTTACACCCCAAACCCCTGAACCCCAAAGCCCTGAACCCCAAACCCTAAACCCCAGACCCTAAGCCCCAAGCCCTAAACCCCAGACCCTAAACCCTAAACCCTAAACCCCAGGGTCGAATTCCCAGGTGTGGACATTCGGCCTTCGCCTCGTAGTCGCCTCAGCTGTGTTCCGGGATGTAGGGGGGTTTGGGGTGTAGGGTTTGGGGTTTAGGGTTTAGGTTGAAGGGTTTAGTGGTTAGAGGTTTAGGGTTTAGGGCTTGTATGTAGCGGTTTTGGGGTATCGGGCTCATAAGTCTGTTAAAAAATTAACCCCGAGTACCCCCCCCCCCCCCTTCCCCCACACCCTTCCCTGCCCCTTTCCACAAGAAAATACCTCGTCACGAAATTACCAACATAGCAAGAAGGTCCCTATTCGCGGAGGGGAGGGGGGGGGAAGGGGGGGGGGGCGCGCAAAACCCGACTTCATCTGAAGGGAAGGGACTCTTTAGGTTGCAAAAGCTGGCCCTAAACCCCAATCAGCCCTAGACCCTAATCAGGCCTAGGCCCTAACAAGCCCTAAACCTTCACCTCTTCACCACTTCCCCCCTTCCTCCCACACCCGACCCCCCAAAAACCGCCGAGACTTCTCCCGTCGGCTGGCGTCGCTTTCGGAGGCGGATTTTTCTCTGAGGGTAGACCTAAGCCAGGGAAGCAAGGGTTTCGGGCTTAGGGTTTGGGGTGTAGGGTTTTTGAGGAGCCCTATTGTCTTCCTAAACAAGCATCATTGCAGCTAAATTAAACAACCCAGAAATGTTAGCAGCTGTTAGCAAAATGGAGCTGAGTTCGGTCTTGCAGACGTAGTAGTGTTGCACTTTGCTTGGGATAGTGGAAGGGCGTAGGGTCTCAGCAGCCCCCCCTGGTCAGCAACCCCAAATCCCAAACCCTAAGCCCGAAACCTCTAAGCCCGAAATCCTAAACCCTAAGCCCCGAACCCTAAACCCTAAACCCGAAGCCCCAAACCCCAAACCCTAAACCCCAAACCCAAAAAGGAACAGACTCGCTCCGGCCTGCGCGCCCTCTCACGACGTCTGGACCTCGGCCAAATGCTGGCGGTTTAGGGATTAGGGTTTAGGGTTCAGGGTTCAGGGTTCAGGGTTCCATGGAATGCATGGGCTAAGTATGCAGTTTAGGGTTTGGGGTTTAGGGTTTAGTGGTTTCGGGGGTTTTGGGTTTCGGGTTTAGGGGCTTCGGGTTAGGGTTTAGGGTTTGGGGTTTTTGGGTTCAGGGTTTTTTGGGTTTGGGGTTGACGGTTCAGGGCTTGAAGGATGTTCCCCGCGAGACCACAGTCAGCAAAGGGTACAATCCGGTTGCAACTGACTTTCATACCCTAACCCAAGAAACCCGAGAAACACTACAAACCCTACAAATATACAAACCCTGCAAACCCTTGAAAACCCTACAAATTCTAAACCCTTATAAACAACAGAACCCTAGGACAAACCTCAGAATCCTATCAAAAACCCGAAACAATCCAAGCAAAGCCAAAGAAACCCCAAGTCGAAACCTAAATATCACCCTAAGTCAACCCTACGCCCTAGACCCTAAACCCTAGTTTGCTCTAGGGAGTCTGCGATCCGATCTCAACCCATGGAAAACCCTCCCAACGCTGTTTAGGGTTTAGGCTTGAATAGGTTGAGGGTTTCGGGTTTAAGGTTTCAAGTTTTCGGGTTTCGGGTTTTTCTGGTTTCAGGGGCTTAAAGGGCTTTCTTAGGCATCAGGTGGCGCCTTCTGTTCACCCAAATCTGGTAAGGAGAGGTGTGGTTTCTCTTTCTTGGGGGGCGGGGGGGGGAGGAATAGGGGTTATAGGGTTTTTAAGGGAGTGGGGTTAGAGGGGGGTAGGTAGCGAACATACCGATACCCCCCCCGAACCCCCCTCCCTTTGGAACCCTAGGGTTTTGCGGGTTTAGGGAGCGTGTGTTCCTGCAGCATGACCGAGGTAGAGGAGGTCAGGACGCGACCTCAGGATCCACTTGCATGCACTGCGGAATCTTGTCAGTTGTAGACTGCGTGCGCATACCTTTGAAGAAGTGGCCCTAAACCCTAACCCCTACTGGAAACCCTAAACCCTAAACCCTAAGCGTTACCCTAAACCTTAAACCCCAATCCCAAAACCCAAAACCGCAACACCCCAAGCCCCAAGTCCCAAGTCTGTGTTGAGGCCTTGGGAAGCGAACACACTGCGGCGGATTCGAAGGCAGGGAGGGGGGCGCTAACGACTGCGGGGTTTAACAAGGGTTTAGCGCTTCGGGTTTGGTGTAAGTTCTATACAGGGTTTTGGGGCCTGGAGTTTAGGGTTTAGGATTCGGGGCGTAGGGTTTAGGGCTGTCGGGCTAATCCCCTCACTTGGTGTTCGGACTTGTTGAGAGTGCAGCCAGCTCTCCTGCAGAAGAGGCCGGGTTTCAGAAAGCCCTAAACCCTAAACCCTAAAACCTTACACCCTAGACCCTAAACCCTGAACCCTAAACCCTAAACCCTAAACCCTAAACCCTAAACCCTAAACCCTAAACCCTAAACCCTAAACCTTACACCAAGCCTGCCTGGCAGGGTGCAGGGCCTGCGGAGGAGGCGCCCGTGGCCTGCAGCGGACGGGGTGAAGGTTAAGAGTTTGGGACTTAGGGTTCAGAGTTTAGGGTTTAGGATTTAGGGTTTAGGGTTTAGGGTTTAGGGTTATGGTTTAGAGCTTGGGTTTAGGGTGTAGTGTTTAGGGTTTAGGGGCTTAGAGTTTGGGCTTTAGGATTAGGGGTTTTGGGTTTACAGTTTGGGCTTCAGGATTAGGGGTTAGGGTTTCGAGCTTGAGCTTTAGGATCAGGGGTTTAGGGTTTAGAGTTCGGGCTTTAGGGTTTTGGGTTTGGGGTTTGTGCCTTAGGGCTCGGGGCTGGGTACACTGTGGAGTTGAACCCTCAATCTCAGGGGCCGTATGGTAGCAGTGGCCGCAAAGATGGACTACGAATTTGGAGACCTGACCACATCGATCTGTGTGTCCGAGCGTCTAGGCAAAGACTTTGACTCGGAATCTGGGGTTTAGGGTTGGGGGGGGGGGGGTTGCTCAACTGAAGAAGGACAGTAAAAGGAACGTTAATGATGATGTTACACCAGTCTCCTTTTTCTGCAGCAAAGCCCATGATTCCACATTGTTTACCAACCCCTAAACCCTAATCCTCTAAACCCTATCAGGGTAGCTTGATTTGTTTCAGAGGGGCGGTTTTAGGGTTTAGGTTTGAGGGTTTATTGTTTCAGAACCAAGAATTTTCTCACCTTGCGCCCTTCGGAAGGTGCTCGGGGAAGAGGCCCGCGGCCCAGTGCTAGTGACAGAGAGCTCGGGGCGGGTAGGGGCAGTCGATGGCGGTCGTTTTGGGAAGCAGAGCTTGTAGGTTTAGGCTTTAGGCTTTAGGCTTTAGGCTTTAGGCTTTAGGCTTTAGGCTTTAGGCTTTAGGCTTTAGGCTTTAGGCTTTAGGCTTTAGGGTTTAGGGTTTAGGGTTTAGGCTTTAGGCTTTAGGGTTTAGGGTTTAGGGTTTAGGGTTTAGGGTTTAGGGTTTAGGGTTTAGGGTTTAGGGTTTAAGGGAGGATGTCTCTTGCACTCAAGTCTTCATGGCCAGGAACGCCTTCCTCGACTCCTGGGAAGGTGTGGAGCACCGGAGGCAATGTCTCCAGCGGACTCAAGAATCGGAGGTTTAGGGTTTAGGGTTTAGGGTTTAGGATTTAGGGTTTAGGGTTTAGGGGTCAGGTTTCTAAGTTCGGGAGAGTACCTGGTCTGCGTGCAACGGCATCTCTTATAGCAAGGGCCCCACATTGGGACACGCGATACGGCGATAAGATACCCCAAACCCTATTCCCGATATCCTAAACCCTAAACCCCCAGAAGTCCCAGAACCCCCAGAACCCGCAGAACCCCAAAAACCCCAAGAACCCCAAGAACCTCCAAAACCCCTAGAACCCCCAGAACTTCCCGCGTGAGTTGGGTCGCTTGTTGACGCAAGCAGAGCACCTCAGCACAACGCCATGGGCCCGAAGCCCAAAGCCTATGTTTGTACCATTGAACGTTTACAGGCCTCAGAGTGCAGTGAGCTGCTCTGCACCTCGCATCCCTAAACCCTAAACCCTAAACCCAAAACCCAAAACCCTAAGCCATGTTCTCCGACTCGATTTGCGTTGGCGAGCTTCTTGGCGAGAAGATCCAGGCTGGACACCAACCGCTTCTTGGTTTAGGGATTTAGGGATTTAGGGTTTAGGGTTTAGGGACCCCAGAAATGATCTAGTGGTTGAGTTGCAGGAGCCTTGCGGACCAAATGAACCCTACAGGGGTTTATGGTTCATATACCTGAACTGGAATTATGTAGTAACGTAGGCTTTTTCTGACTCCCATTTTAGAGACTCATGTCGTCCGCAAGGAGTTCTCTGGTCAGGATTAAGAGAGTGCGAGGTTCAGGGCCGCTCCGATCTTCCACATCCATCCCTGGGAGGTCAAACATGCAGACGAGGAGGGTTTCAACCAGACCTACACGCGTATGTGTGTGGAGGCGGGGCAAGCAAGTCTTCCCCCAAAAACAACTTTGCCCTAAACCCTAGCCCTAAACCCTAAACCCTAAACTCTAAACCCCAAACCCTAAACTGCAAACTGCACAGGGGTTTTCGGTTCGGGATGCATGTTCCGTCCGTGGTCATCAGCCATGGAAGGAGTTTCGTTCGACGCATGAGCTGCAGCAAAAGATGGCGAACTGTGGCCAATGGGTGTATGTTGCACCTTGGCCAGGCTTTAGGGTTTAGGGTTTAGGGTCTAGGGTCTAGGGTTTAGGGTTTAGGGTTTAGGGTTTAGGTTCTAGGGTTTAGGGTTTAGGGTTTAGGGTTTTGGGGTCATGTGTTCGTCACTCTTTCCGCACTATTCACAAGACTTGGGCAGTTGATAAGCTCGATACGGGCTTTGTGTTTGGCCTGCGCTTTGCACCAGCAACCTCATGATATGTTCCAAAAAGCAAGTGCTATATAAGCCTACTAAACCCTGAACCTCTTCACCCTTATACCCCTTATGCCCCCCGTACCCTTATACCCTAAAACCCTTACACCCTTATACCCTAAAACCCTTATACACTTCTTACCACAAAACCCTTACACCCCTTATTCCCTCATACAGTTCTACCCATATACATATACTGGGGAGGCGCTGAGCTTAGTAAGCACATCGTGGGGGAGAGAAGACCCAAGACCACCCCCGATATCAACGCCATGGGAAGCGGATTGTTAGGGGGGGTTTAGGGTTTCGGGTTTAGGGTTTAGGGTTTCAGGTTTCGGGTTTAGGGTGTAGGGTTTAGGGTTTAGGGCTAGGGTTTAGGGCAAAGTTTGGGGCTGGGGTTCGGTGGCACAGGGTGAGTCGCCTTTCAACGACCAACTGGGGAAGCCGTACATCTGGTCACAGCACGGAGACTGGGCATGGACTTGGAAAAGGGTTAAGGGTTTCGGGTTTAGGGTTTAGGGTTTGGGGTTTGGGGTTTGGGGTTTAGGGTTCAGGGTTTAGGGTTTAGGGTTTGGATATTTCACCCTTATCTTAGGGATACTTGGGAATAATGTTTAAGTTTTGGTGCTCTAACTCTTAAGAGACAGTTAAAACTATCCTGTTTGCTAGGGATCCAAGTTCAGCATAGTTCTAGTTATGCTAACTATCCTTATTTGGGATTATGGTACCCCGGTACCCCCTATGTTTAAGGACGGTCAGTGTAAGGGGGAACATCCCAAAACATGGGTTCTTAAATTTTCCCGTGGGCACTAATCCGAATGTAGCCCGAAAGGACCCACACACTGAGTTTTTCAACCCCGCCTCCCCCCCGCTCCCTTTGAAGAAATTCGCCCCCCCCCCCCCCTTCCCCCCGCCCCCTCAAAAAACACCCTAAACCCTAAACCTAAACCCTAAACCCTCCCCCGAAAAAAAGGAAAATCAAGACATGCTGCAGGCGAGTGGAAGATCGCGCTGGTCGGGGTGACTTGCCTTTGGGTAGTCATGCTGTCTTGTCGAGTCCTTCAGAAGTCCCAAACCCTACGCTTCTCTAACCCACACTGCACTATAGTCTGTAATTACCCAGGAATAGACTTAAAGGGCTTTAGAGTAATAACCTACAAAAACAGTGCAGTTCTTTGGGGTTCTGAAGGGAAGGGTCTAGAGTTCAGGGTGTGAGCTCATCCTGGTTGAGATTGGCCTTCCGTTGCTGAGGAGTCTTCCTCTCGATATTCTTGCTGTCAACTGCCGCTTTGCTTTCAAAGCGGAGAGCCAGAACCTCGCCCCTGGAAGCGGCACCGAACGCAAGGGGAGGCTTCCGTGGTGGTGTGCCTCGGCATTCCGAAAGTCAAGTCACAGCTTGCAGATGTATCAAAATTTGGGTCGTCATCACAATTTCTGCTCTGCTCATGCGGAACTTGAAGAGTTTTCTGCTGCCTTGCGGAGTGAGCGAGTGTCCTAAGCCCGGCCAAGCACCCAAACGCCCCAAACGCCCCCCCAGCAAACAATGCATGCAACCCCCCAGCAAGCCCCGACAAACCCTGAACCCTAAACCCGAAACCATAAACCCTAAACCCTAAACCCTAAACCCTAAACCCCAAACCCCAAACCCCAAACCCCAAACCCTAAACCCTAAACCCGAAGCCGCAGCTCTCGAGGCAACCCTTGGACGCCCCGAGACCCCCGTTGCGGACGCTGGAACCAGTTCCAGACTTGGACGCGGGCGCCTTGCAGCAGCTCTACGAGAAAGGACTCGCGGCTCTTGACTTGAGCCCTGGAAGGCTTAGGGTTTAGGGTTTAGGGTTCCGGGTTTAGGGTTTAGGGTTTAGGGTTTAGGGCATACTAACGGTCCTTAGTGGGGATTAGTACCCCCTTATTGGAATCCCTATTAAGGACTGTCACTATACGGGGCGCATCCAAAGGCTTAGGGCGTAAGGGTTGTTATTGGGATTTATTCGGGAGTTTTGGGAATCAGGTGCCATGGAATATGAGATCTAAAAGGGGTAGAAGGTACCCCACATCCCCTCATTCCCCATTGAGAACTAGCAACGGGCCGAGGGCTCAAAACCCCCGAAACCCTGAACCCTATACCCGATACCCTAAACCCTAAACCCCAAACCGCAGTGCTTGTGGCCAGGATACGTGGTGGTTAAGGCAGACCGCGGCATGTCGGACGTGATCAACGACGCAGTTCGCTTGCCACGAGCTTAGTTCCGACTTGGAAGGAGCAAGTTTGGGTTTGGGGTTTGGGGTTTAGGGTTTAGAGTTTAGGGTTTAGGGTTTAGGGTTTAGGGTTTAGGGCCTAGGGCTGTGCATTCCAAAGGTCCAACATCTTGATTTACCGCTTGGCCGATACTGCGCTGGGCGCAGCCGGGAACTCTGCCAACTGGGACATGCCACTCCTGAGATCCGAGGAAGGCGATCTGCATTTAGGGTTTCAGGGTTTCGGGGTTTAGGGTTTAGGGTTTAGGGGTTTGGGTTTCGGGTTTGGGGTTCAGGGGTTCGGGGTTGAGGGTTGAGGGTTGAGGTTGGCCCGCTTCCAAGCTAAAAAGAGGGATATTTGGGGGGGTTTACGACAAAAAGGGACCCCGAACACAGAGCCCAAAGAGTAGGACTCCCGTGGAAGAAGGACCCTTGAAAAAGGTTCCCCCAATTCGGGAACCCCATTTCGATTTAATGTGCAGATCATGGCTTCTGTCACAAGACATCATGAGCTCCTGTGACGTCCTCACTCTGAGTCATACGTTCCGGAAGACAGCTTCGTGTTGCCGCCCTAGGCACGACAAACATCCTGGTGCGGCTAGACAAAGCCCCTGCTCTCTTAAAGCTGCTTGCGCGGGTGGCGCCCTTGGCAGAGCAACTGTTCCAGGACTTCTCGTGCAGCACGCGCACTGAATTTCAGGGACAGCAAGATGCACTCTCCTGCATTTTACGAGCACTGAACCCTCCTAAGCTGCTTAAAGAACAATTTCAAGTCCAACGACTGGCCCTGTCGTTCCCGCCTTTTGGAGTACTATAATACTTGTTTTTGGTTCTGGGTTCCGATTATAGCTACTTAGACCTGAAAGGTGTCTACTTTTTTTCAGGGTCTCCCCTAAACCCTAAACCCTAAACCCTAAACCCTAAACCCTAAACCCTAAACCCTAAGCCCTAAACCCTAAACCCTAAACCCTAAACCCTAAGCCCTGACCCTCCTCCAAAGTAGGGTTGCAGAGGAGCCAGCAGAAGTACCCAAAGTCTGCCAATTGGCCATCGTGGCTCCCGAGGGCGACACCACGGACACGACGTGGAAGGATGGGGGAGGGGGGGGAGCTTAGATAGGACCCAGAGCAGGTCCTCACTTGCCCTTTCTTAGGGCTTAGGTTCCCTTATGAGCCCCTTTAAACCAAAAGGGCACCCTTCTTATTCCTAGGTTACTCCTTGGTCTAGCTAGGGCTTCAGTTGAGGCTGCGCATGTGAGAGAGTGATGTGACAGAGTGACGGCAGAAGGCTAATTCTGCTTGGAGTCACTACTCCACTGCTGGAACTCGTAGACGGCTTGAGGACATGGTTGACAAAAATGCCAGATACCACATCGACGGCCGAGTGCCTCGGCCTGTGTCAGTTAAAGGAAGTCGGGCATTCCGGATCCATTAGTGACGTCCTGAAGTTCTATTCTATTCTACCTATCTCAAAATAGGCCTAAACCATATAAACCCTAAACCCTCAACCCTAAACCCTCAATCCCCGATCTGAGGGAAAGCTTCCCAATGGCTTTGGGCTGCTGATGGGGATTGCCTTGTCCGAGAAGCCTGACGGTGCCGCCAGTTGGGGTGCGTTTGCGTGCCATCCAGGATCGCATCGTCTCTTGGATGGGAACTAGCCCTTAACCCTAAACCCTAAACCGTAAACCCTAAACCTAAACAGTCGGCACGGAGTGCAGCCCTGTACCCTGAACGGCGCTCCTGGCCGGAGCTCTCAACTATCTACGAAAGGCAACTCCGCGCTGCAGAAGCAGTACAAGAGCCAGCTCAAAGGCAGGGCTCAGGGTTTAGGGTTTAGGGTTTAGGGTTTAGGGTTTAGGGTTAAGGGTTTCAGGGTTTCAGGGTTTAGGGTTTAGGCTGGGTTTGTTGAAGCAGGTGTCATGGACTTGGTAGCCCAATGGTACCCTTTTTGCTATTTGCTAGTTCCAGGTTCCCTTATGAAGTGGCCAACCCCAAAAAAAAGGGTAGCCTTATCTTGTAATGTGGATAATGGGCTACCAAGTGGATGTGTTCTCCAAACCCTAAACCCTCAACCCCAAACCCCAAACCCCAAACCCTAAACCCTAAACCCTAAACCCTAAACCCTAAACAGCGTGGAGTCAGACGCAGATTCGACCGCCCGCGAGGCAAGATTTCAGCTATGGACCTGGGCCATGCAACGCCAGTGGTGCTGAGACCTGGTGCTTCCCTCAGAGTTGTGTTGTTCCTAAACCCTAAACCCTAAACCCCAAACCCCAAACCCTAAACCCTAAACCCTAAACCCTAAACCCTAAACCCTAAACCCTAAACCGTGCCCCCTGTTATAATCCCTATTCCAAAACTGCTCGTATAAGGGGGCACATCTCAACCTCAGAGCTTCGTAGATCTCTTCCTTGGCCTGTTGGAGCATGTTTGGGGTGTGGAGGAGACCCTCCCTAAACCCTAAACCCTAAACCCTAAACCCTAAACCCTAAACCCTAAACCCTAAACCCTAAACCCTAAACCCTAAACCCTAAACCCTAAACCCTAAACCCTAAACCCTAAACCCTAAACCCTAAACCCTAAACCCACCCCAAACCCCTAAACCCTAAACCCCACCCTACTTCTTACAACTCCCCGATGAGAATCCTTATATCCCGACGTGAAGAACTCCATAGCTCTAAACCGTATAACCCTGAACCGTAAACCTGAAGCGCTACACCCTGTGCAACCCTATATGCTCATTTCTCAAAATTATGGTCTCTTCTTGTCATAGACTTCGCCGCCGCCAAAAAAGTGACCCCAGAAAAGGGGCCCTAATTTTGAACCATGTAGGCCACAAAGCCTTAAACCCTAAACCCTAAACCCCTAAACCTTAAACCCTCAGCTGAAGTGGAGCCTGAGGTGACATCCTGATTGCGCATCCTCTGCTCGCGCACAGACGAACCCAGAACTGGCTCCTCGGCGTGCGTTTTAGGGTTTAGGGTTTAGGGTTTAGGGTTTAGGGTTTAGGGTTTAGGGTTTAGGGTTTAGGGTGTCGAAGGTGTCGAGGGTTTCGAGGGTTTCTAGCAGAGTTTTGTGGGGCTTAGAGTTTAGAGTTTAGGGTTTAGGGTTTAGGGTGTTGGGGTGGTTGTTGTATACTGTAGGGTTTCTAGTGCTTTTCAGGGATTTTGTCGGCTTTCGTAGGGGGTTTGTAGGGGTGTGTAATAGTTTGTCAGGGTTTGCAGGGCCATTCTATAGGGGATTGTAGGGCTCTGGAGGGCATTTCTAGGGTTTATAGGGTGTGGGGGTTCATGGGTCATATGGAGTTTAGAGGCTTTAGGGCACAGGGCCTGTGACGGTTTAGGGACTAATTCCACCAAGTCTCCGCAGGAAGCGTGTTTTCTTCTTGTTTCTATCGAAAAGCCTAGGGGACTAATTACTAAGAACACTCTTTATCTAGGCAGGACACAGGGACATCTCCTATTTACTCAGGTGTTGTTCAAGAGTACCTTACTTGGGAAGACTTTTCAGAGAGTTGTAAGGGCATACCTAGTTTTGGGGCTTAAGGGGAAGGATGTTATCCACGAGCCTGCGCACGTTGCGAGTCCTTAGCGTACGCCCTCGGCTTGCCATTGCATCTCAGGAGTGCCTACCCGCGTATGCAGGTATACTTCAGGCCGGGCCGGCTTGCGATTTTTCAGGGCTTATGATGAAACTCTCCTTTAAGGCTTAAGAAGTTTGCCGTAACTATTGCGGTTTGGGATGAGGGCTATATTTTTTCGGCTTAGCATGGGCTGGTTCACTCCTAATGCTCGAAGAACGACTCGAAGGTTCATAGGCACTTAAACGTCGTGTCAGAAGTGCCCTGAAAAAAGGTCATGACCATAGTTACCCTACTCAGAACCTTACTTAAAACCCATGAACCTCCAAGCAGCGAGAGCCCCGCTTGGAGGTTCATGTTACTTCTTAACCAAATATAACTGTACTTATGACTATACTTATAGCCATATTAGGGCACAGTAAGTACCATGAACCTCCTAGCAGGCCTTTTGTTCCCACCTCTTCTGTAGGCTGAGGCCAAGATCGGCGGCCATGGGCAACGGGAGTTGGCAAGCAAACGTCCTGGAGGACCTGATGTCGGGGCAAGTTAGGGCTGGGAACCTCGCAGGGATTTAAAGGCCCCTAAACCCTAAACCCTAAACCCTAAACCCTAAACCTTAAACCTTACACCCTCAACCCTCAACCCTTCAGCTGGGTTGGCATGTGCCTTGCAGGACCCTTTCTCTATATGGCCGGGCTTGAGGCATGGGGTGGCGTCGAGCTCACATCAGCCTTTCGGCAGATGAAAGCTGGGTTTAGGGTTTGGGGTTAGGGTTTGGGGTCTAAGGTGTGGGTTTAGGGTTTAGGGTTTAGGGTCTAGGGTCTAGGGTTTAGGGCTGAGGGACGAGGATTTGGCACAAAGGAAGGATCGCCCCCTCCTTGGTAGCCCGGTGGTGCCCTTCTCCTTTTTTGTGCTTGTGGGAATCTTTCCAGTTCAGGGTTTAGGGTTTAGGGTTTAGGATGTGGGGTTTAGGGGGTTGCTGGATGTTCCCATGAGCCCTAAACCCTTGCCATGGCAATGCCATACTGGGGTTCGAACTTCTGTGACTTCACGCGCTTATGGGAACATCCACTAACCCCATAGCCCCCTAAACCCTAAACCCTAAACCCTAAACCCTAAACCCTAAACCCTAAACCCTAAACCCTGAACCCTAAACCCTAAACCCTAAACCCGAAACTGACCACAGATCCAAACCCTGCAGCCCACGTCCTCGGTTTCTGTTCTGCGGCGTCCTGATGCCTGCAGACTTTGCTTCCGTGGACCAAACAAAGACCCTAAACCCTAAACCCTTAAACTCTCAATGGGGGTTTCCGAAATAGGGGTACTCTTTGGGGGCTTCCTTTAAAAGGATTCTCTAGTATTTTGGGGTATATGAGGGGTACACCCCCCCCCACCGCCCCCCCCCCATTTTCGGAAATCCCCAAATTCAAACTCGGAGCCACATCTGCAGTAATTCACCCCTTGTGCTTAGCTTGGCATCTACGCTGTGAGAGGTACAAACCCTAAGCCCTAAGCCCTAAACCCTAAACCCCAAACCAACAACAACCTCAAATCCGATGCCCAAAAGACACCCCAGATGCCTAAACCCAGATCCGAAACTGGCCCGAAGCAACCCGCGACCCTAGTTCCTCACTCAGCAAAGCACGACTAAACCCCAGTAGCCTAAATACCAGATTCCTAAGCTAAACCGAAATTCGAGACCCTGGTTCGTAAAACAAGCCGAAAACCCTAAACCTACCCTAAACCCTAAACCCTAAACCCCAAACCCTAAACCCTAATCCCTTAAGCTCAAAAGTCATATACTGAGGCCAGAGGCTGGCGAGTCGCCTCCAGCGGTCGTCCCAGCTGGGCAACCAGCAGGTGGGGTGGGTTTGGGGTTAGGGTTTAGGGTGTAGGGTGTAGGGTTTAGGGTTTAGGGTTTAGGGTGTAGGGTGCAGGGTTTAGGGTTCAGGGTTTAGGGTTGAGGGTATACGGTGCAGGGTTTAGGGTTTAGGGTTTAGGGTTTGGATGAACTCTATGAACAAAGTGCACGAAGTAAGCTCCTTCCTGCCCCCATAAAAGCCTTACAAGATGCATTCATGCGGCTTTTCCAGGAGCTAGAACGCTACCATCCTATTCTCGTTTCGTGCCTTCGTTCACGCCATACCCTAAACCCCAAGCCCTAAGGCCTAAACCCTTAACCCTAAACCCTAAACCCTAAACCCTAAACCCCCCGAATTTTAGAGTGTTAGCCCACTTCAATATTCGGCCGCGGGCCGTGTTCTTTCTCGCGCCCATGTCAGAGTGCAACTGCTCTGCAAGGGAACAACATACTCTCAAAGGGTGTTTGCACGGACTTGCTGCCTCGTTCTTAAGTTGTTGTGTTTCCATGTTCGTCGTACGAAGCCACGCATTCTGCGCCCTAAACCCAAGCCTAAGCCCTAAACCCAAACCCTAAACCGCTAAACCCTAAACCCTAAACCCCTGCAGAAGATGGTGGACACTTCCTAGGCTCGCTTGCTTGCCTGAAGCCCTGCTAAGCCTAACCGAAACTAGGGGTACCCCGGTACCCCTTATATACCCCAAAATATCTCTCTTGACAGCCCAGGGGGACCCTTTACCCTTTTTTTTTTTGGGTTCTGGGTTCCCTTATAAAGTAACCATACCCAGAGAAGGGGTGCCCTATGGGGGGGTCCCTGGTCCTGGCATGAAGAGGGTTTAGGGTTTAGGGTTTAGGGTTTAGGGTTTAGGGTTTAGGGCATGAAGCATCTTTCAGGAGCCAGGGTTTCAGGTTGACTGGGCTGCAGGTCATTCACGCAGTAGTTGACTTGTCTATACGACTATCAGTTCAGAAGTTTAGGGTTTTGGGTTTTGGGTTTAGGGCTTAGGGTTTCGGGTTTCGAGTTTAGGGTCCCCTCTCGGACCACTTCAGTGTATGATGGGACTACCTTGCGCTTTAGGGTTTACCGAAACCCCAACATTTCTCACAGTCACCCAGCCCTTGAATTACACGGAGCTTCTCCCAAATCCCGAAAAGAGAAGAGACTATGAAGCGACGCAGCCGTAGAACACCGACCCTAACTTCTAGACCTGTAGACCCTATGGGATAATTAGCCTCTCTAGACTGAACCCAAAAAGCCTAAACCCTAAACCCTAAACCCCCAAACCCTAAACCCTAGCCCTAAATCCCAAGACCTGCCTTACCCCGTACGCGCCGCCCTCCACCGCAAGGAGCGCGCGGTTCTTGATATCTCTGACCTGGCGAAGCACATCCAGACATCCGCCTGGCGATGAGAAGGGTTAGGGTTTGGGGTTCAGGGTTCAGGGTATAGGGTTATATACATACACAGATGTATCTCGTTCTCTCTCTCTCTCTCTCTCTCTCTCGCTCTTTGCATACATATCTATATATATATTTATATTTATATGTGTGTGTATATATGTTTGCTTACTCGTACAACAAATGTATATACATATATATATATATATGTATTTATGTTTTTCTATTTTATTTCTTTATATGTATATTTATAGTTTTCTATACTGGGCTTTGGAGTACTATACTTTACTACTTTTTTGTTCTGGGTTCCTATTATTGCTACTTATTACCTAAAAAGTATATACTTTTTTCCAGGGTCTACTCCAAGGCTAAGTATATGTACATATTTGCTTATTTAAATCCAATTAAAATATGTATTTATGTTTGTGTGTTATGCATATTGTTCTTGATAGTCTAGGGTTCCAGGCTCTAGGAACCTCAGCGCGCCAACCCCCCTACACAAAGTCCAGAACTGGAGAGTCCATCCCAGCCCACGGCCGCGAAACGCCTTTAGAGCCCAACTTGGAGATGGGTATAGGGTTTAGGGTTTAGGATTTATAAGGGTTTAGGGTTTAGGGTTTAGGGTGCAGGATATCAACACCCGCAAAACTCTTAAACCCCAGACAACATCCAAGCCCTACACCGAGGAGCCTCCAGTGCAACCGGAGCACAGCGCCCTCACGGCCGCCCAGCTCACAGGGAACGAGGTTTCAGGTTCGGGTTTAAGGCCTCTGGGGTCATCGGGGTTAGCAGACCCTCCTCCAATGAATGAAGTGCTGGGATACAAACGAGTATCTCCCACAGCGATGTCTGGGGGGGGAGTAGCCTGCAATGCTGAAAGTCAGGAGCCGGAGCCACGCGTGGTTCTGCCAAACAGCCCTGGCTCGACCGTTGTGCTCCGAGATGGGGAGGGGCCAAGTGAGCTGCGACAGCATCGACCTGTCCTTGGTGGATCCTGGGGACAGAGCTTGTCGGAGTCGCGTAGATCCAGTACGAGCATGGACAGGGTTCCTCTCACTGGTCACCTGCTGCCGAGTGCTCTCGCACCTGCGCAGCCATGATTGGGTGGCTGGCTGAGCGTCTCATTGAAGCAAAGCCGCATGGCAAGTTCAAAATAGCGTCACATCTTGCAGCTACAGCATATGAGGTACCCGAAACCCTAAACCCTAAACCTGGCACCTGTTGATGGCATTTGTAGTTTGCAGGTGCTCCACGGCAAAGCAATCGGCGAGCATCGTGGCGAGCCCAGACACACGCAAGCAATGCGCTTGAGTTGAAGATGGTCAACTAAATCGGGTTTAGGGTTTAGGGTTTAGGGTTTAGGGTTTAGGGTTTAGGGTTTAGGGTTTAGGGCTTCTGCAACTCACCGGTCGCCAGATAGCAGCAAGGGTTTCTTTAACGTCAAAAACCCCCATTTAGGTTTTTTTTAAAGGGTTTTTTAGGGTTTTTTAACGTGAAAAAACCCCATTTAGGGTTTTTTTAGGATTTTTTAACGTTAAAAAACCCTTCCTTTCTTGAGAGCAGCTGCCGATTTCTTTTTTCGCGCGCGCTGTGACGCATGACAGGTCCCGGCCGCCCCAAGCCTGAAGTGCTATCATGACCACGAGGAAGGCGTGGACCTTGGGCACACGCATGGCTTCGCTTTCTTGAGGGTTTAGGGTTTAGGGTTTGGGGTTTGGGGGTTTGGGGTTTGGGGTTTGGGGTTAGGGTTTATTGGGTGCGGCATCGCCGTGGCAGCAAGCTCTGTTTTGTTCCCGCCGCCATACCACGAGAAGCGAAGCCTCGAACTGTGGAACAGCGTAACTTTTGCCTTGCAGTCCTGAACGCTGTGCCTACATCCCCCTTGGGAATGTTTTTTAATTTTCGTTTATATAAAACCCAAGAGGAGATTATGAATATTATTCTTATTAAGGTTCTAAGATTCTAAGGGGAGCTTAGGTACTGCTGCAACTCGCTCAAGCAAGGCTTCAGTTCTTCATTCCTGGCGTTGTACAGATGGTGCGCAGCCCAAGACACAGACGCATCAGATCGCGTCAGCATGTAAGGTTTGGATGAACGACCTAGAAAAGACCTGACATGTGAGTGCTGCAGAGTCGCGAGTGAGTACTGTGTTCATTCTGTCATGAGAGAGCATTCGGTCCCCTAAGCCCTAAGCCGTAAACCCTAAACCCCTCAGCTTTTCGGGCTTAGAGACATCACTGGGGTCCGTGTCCGATGCAGAATTGACTAGCGACGGCCACCTTGACATGTAGACGACTCCGCACGCATTTTGAGCCCCCCAGGCGAGGGCCTGAAGCGCACGACATGCTTCTCCTTAGGAAGATGACTCACCATCCAGCTAACCCTTGCCCCTCCCCCTCGGCATCAAATACAAGCAAGAAAACTTAGCAGCCCGGTGGTACCCTTTGCCTTGTTTTTGTTGTGGGTTCCCTTACAAAGAAACCAACCAAGAAAGGGTTTAGGGTTTAGGGTTTAGGTTTTAGGGCTCAGGGCTATTATCATTTGGGTACTGGACTACCAAGGAGAGGTTGCAAGGGAACACGATGTCACGTGCCGGGCTCTTCCCGTGCTTCTTCTTGGATGCCCCAGCTTTGTGACCCTAAATCCTAAACCCTAAACCTCAAAACCTCAAAACCTCTAAACCTCTAAACCTCTAAACCTCTAAACCTCTAAACCTCTAAACCTCTAAACCTCTAAACCTCTAAACCTCTAAACCTCTAAACCTCTAAACCTCTAAACCTCTAAACCTCTAAACCTCTAAACCTCTAAACCTCTAAACCTCTGACTCCGAAACCCTAAACCCTAATCCCCGAAAAAACACCCCTAAAAACCCTAAGCCCCCACACCCCCACACCCAGGCCAGAGGAGCGGTGGGGGCCTCTGACCTCGGTGGACTCGCACCCCCATGGGGGCATGCGCGTCGTGGTATGCGGCGCATCCCCCTGGAGAAAGCGTATAGCCCACGACATTCGATGATCCTGTTCTCCTATAGGGACTGGGGAGATGTAACCTTTAAGCGAAGTTCGGGGATGCAGAATCCTACTATATGTGAGAGGTTAGTTTTTTTTAGTTTATTTTTATTTTTTTACTAGGGTTTTTTTCAGCCCCTAAGAGGCATAGGCATAGTTGCCAAGATGGTCATGATCCAAAGAACTGAGGGGTTTTTAGCCACCAGCGCCTTAGATACGCCCTTACTTGGAGGTTCATGGTACTTATTAACGAATTAGTAACTGTACTGAAAACCCACTGATCACCCCCCTCAGTGCCCTAATATGGTTTCTAAGTACAGTTATAAGTACAGTTGCAATTGGCTAATAAGTACCATGAACCTCCATTCGCACCGACTCAGGAAGTTGAAGGCGAGTGTTCTTGTGATGTAGAACTAGCCTACATCCCCCTTGAAATTTATTTTTATGTTTGTTCATATAAACCCCAAGAGGATATTAAAGATACTTTCTTTAAATTGTGGTTCTAAGGGGAGTATAGTAGCAGACAGGCCATTTCGCAAGGCGACTTCCGCTTGTACTTGGGAATGTTCCGATGTCGTTTGCTGTCGAAGAACTGGGCCGCTGCTTGCAAGACTTACACGAAGAATTCACTCCCGAGTTGCGCTCATAGAGCGTTCGGATTGGGCCCTAAACCCTGAACCCCCTGAACCCCCTAAAACCCTAATCCCTAAACCCTAAACGCTAAACCTTAAACCCTAAACCCTAAACCCTAAACCCTAAACCCTAAACCCTAAACCCTAAACCCTAGCCTGCGAGAGCACAGCCGGAGCCCATGATTCGTGTTTTTGGATCGGGGAGACTGAAGGCTGCTTGAACCGCGTCAAGCTGCACGTGCCCCTCACCACGTCTTTTGGGAGTAGGGCTTAACAGGGTTTAGGGTTTAGGGTTTAGGGTTTAGGGTTTAGGGTTTAGGGTTTAGGGTGTCCGACTGCCCACGCTGAACGTAATGTCCGACAATTGCCGAGAGACAAGTGCCCAGGCGCTACCAAAAAGTTGTTCCAAGTGCGGAAGAAGATGGAGGAATTGACCACTCCTTCCCAGAGACTCCAACACTTCTTCCTTAGGGGAAGATTCTTAGGGTTTTGGGTTTAGAGCCTAAACCCTAGACCCTAGACCCTAAACCCTAAACCCTAAACCCTAAACCCTAAACCCTTTCGGGCTTAGGGATGCCAATCATGATTTCAGGAAAGTCCCTTACTTTCAGGGGGAGATCGGAGTCTCTGGGACAGTGCTCTTTTCTTTGTGGTGCTTTACTGTAGCTTCAGATCCTTACATTTTTTGGGGTTTACTGGGTTTCTTATTAAGGCAGCTAAAAGTTTAATTTATCGCTACCCTCCTGAGTGCAGCCAAGTTTTACGAGGATCAGATCTTGGGAATATTTTCTCCCGAGGGCTTTAAGGGCCAACTGAGGGCTGATATGGCACCGGAGTCTCATCTTTCGTAGCTGGGTCGGTAGCCTTTTCCCTTTTGGGGTATATATATATATATATATATGAAGTTTTAGGGTAAGCCTAAACCCCAAAGCCTCATTCCCTTATGGCCCCTTGATATATCTTATACATAACTATACCAACCCCCCAAAACCCTATTGAAATTTTGAAGGCCCCCTATATTAGACCCTAAGCCCGAAACCCTAAACCCTAAACCCTAAACACTAAACCCTAAACCAGGACCTAGAACCCTAGAACCTGGAGCTTGCCCGGCTTAGCTCTCTGGATCCAGTCGCGACATCAGCCTCCAGAAAGCTTCGCCCCCGTTCCCCGACTCAACAGTAGTCTGTGTGGAGTTACAGGGTTTAGGGTTTAGGGTTTAGCGTTTAGGGTTTCGGGTTTAGGTTTGAACTTAGAACCCTAAACCTAAGTATGAGGTTCAGGGTATGGATCCTCCTCTGTGAGTACAATGAAAAAATGTAATATGAACCCAAGCACCCAATGTAGTCAACAACGGGTCCATACGTTGGGTGCATTTACTGATTATGTTGTTTTGGCCCTAGCCCTGAACCCTGCACATATGTCAGGATGGACCGGGACATTCCACAATCACTAAGCAGCAATAGTGATGGTGGCCTCGATAAGGTATTCTGTGCATATCAAGTATTCGGGGTTCAGGTTTAGGTTTTAGAGTTTAGGGCTTAGGGTTTATAGGGTTTTAAGGGTTTATAGGGTTTATAGGGTTTATAGGGTTTATAGGGTTTATAGGGCTTATAGGGCTTATAGGGTTTATAGGGTTTATAGGGTGTATAGGGTTTATAGGGTTTATAGGGTTTATAGGGTTTAGGGTTTAGGGTGGGGGAGTACTAGGGGACGGGGGATGATGCATTTAAACTGGCAGTTCCTGTCCGACCACGCATCGGGAAAGACGGATTGCACAAGTCATTCGAACGATCTCTTTTCACGCCCTGCCCTTCCGGAAGATTTGATGACTGGAGGCTCGACTCGTGGGTCCAGGGTTTTAGGGTTTAGGAGGTAAGGTTAGGGTTTAGGGTTAAAGTTTAGGTCGGGGGGCATAGGGGGCTTGGGTGCGAGGAGGGTGTCGGGTTTAGGGTCGAAGTCCGATGTTTTGCGTTTTGTTGGTTACGGGTTGACGTCTGTTCAGAACTGCGCCGCCGGTACGTCACCAGACAGCATCAAATCATCTCCTCTGGATTCCGTTTGCGTAATTCGATTACGCATCTTCGCGTTTGGCCACGGGCAAGGGCTCGAATTCGATGCGACAACCGCTGTTGAAGTTATATGGGCTGTTGTGGAAAGTAAAGCCTTCAGCGAGCGAGTCACATGCATCTGCAGAGAATCTCCAGCACGACAATTGAAGAGCGACCTTGAACCCTAGTAGAAAATCCGGATCCCTGCTGCAGCCAGGCTCAGCAGCTTAGCTGGCCCTTGCTTCAGCTGTGAATGTTCTGAGGAGCTGCGCCGTCTTCCGCAGCTTTCGCCCGCTGTCCCTTTCGACAGCTTGAGCTATCGACTTTGGCAGCTTTGTGGTTTTAAATCCTCGACGCCCGGACCGCCCGGACGCGCCGGCCGATCGAGAAATGAAGCAAATCATGGCTTGGCTGTTTTGCAGCCTGGCCTGTCTCATGGTTTCGACCTACAAGTTGAGCACAGAACCTCCGAATGTCGCGACTATCACGGATGACCAGGAATGGGTGGATGATGTACCAGATGACAACATCGAGCGCCAGTATGGACCTCATGCAGATCTGTCCCTGGCTTTGTCGATGACCATCATGAATCTGTCCACGTTTTCCGGGCAGATCAATTCCAGGGACAGGCCGCAGTCCCCGAACAGTACCCACCGCTTTGGCGTAGATCCACACGCTGATAAGTTGATGCTTTATGACAAGGTGAAGGGCTTCTACAGCGTGCTGCACGAGGTCATCGGCGAGAACGCTTCGCTGTACTGCCCGTGGAATGCGGAGCGGTACATTGCTGAGTGCATCGACATTGCTGTATGCCTCGTCCAGCGTGATGTGCCCGCATACATGTCGCAAGAAGCATATGCCTCGATTCTGGAGCAGGTGACACGGTTCCCGATCATCTGGGAAGCGATCAGGTATGGTCTGGCATCGGAGGATTCGACAGAGATCTCCGGCCCAGACTTCGATATGCCAGCAGATATGGTCTGTGACGAGAACGACCATTCTCATGACCATCCTGCTCTTCTCCAAGGCAGTGTGTCGCAGACGTTCGCTTTGTCCACGGCCATGCACAATGCAGCACGCTCCACACACAAGATCCTTGCCGAGCATGGTGCAAACGCTTCACTGAATCGCACAATCCAGCGTTTTGAGGAAGCCTGGCACCCTGTCTGCCATTTGCTTGGTTGCGACCATTCCAACTTCCTGGACATCTACTTGGCATCGCATAGCCACACCATGGCGTTGATGTCAGAGGCTTCCGTGTCTCACCTGCATTCTCATATCCGAGGCCGGCAGAAACTGCACCTCGCTATGGCCCGGTTCACACAGGAGCACGGCGCAGCCTTCGCAGACAGGGTGTACAGGAGCGGTACTCAGGCCAAATCAGAGGAAGCCTTCCGCCGGTACGGCCATGTCACTCGCGAAGCCGTGCGGGACCATCTCCTCCCAATGACCGTTGCGATGAACAACAAGACGAAGGCTCTCCGACTTGTGGACCAGGTCGAGTTCGCCAAGTTCTATGCGGCCTGGAAAGAGAGTCACGGCAACGAGACCGGCAAAGAAGTGGCGCCTTGGCTGAGCGGATTTTCGGAGCTTCAAACAGTTATGCGATCGAGAGGTTTCGAGCTTTTAACAGTTATAAGGCCTTTCGAAGTGTGTTGGAAGCGTTTTGAATGTAGAGATGTTGAGATGTTGCTCGTCTGCATTCCTCCTGAGCCCCAAAGTGTCGCTGGACCCTGCTTATGCTTGGGCCTCCCTTCCACAGAAGTCGCATGCACACGTGGGCGAGTTGAGGGGGCGAAACCCTGGGCACTCTGAGGATCCAGGGCTCTCACTGCTGGAGGAGTCAGAGCAGGAAGAAGATGAAGATGACGAGCACGGCGGCCACGATGGAGAGGTGGAGGACTGGGAGGCCGAGGACGCAGATTCCGAGGACTCCGAGGATGAGGAGGCTGAGGGGGCCCTGGTGGCGAAGGAAGCTCGAGAACCCGGCGAGGAGCATGATCCTCAGCTGGCATTGCTCGAAACCGACGAGGCCACCAAAGGTGAGAGGAGCGGTTGGGGTCGGAGGAGGCATCGAAGGCGACGCCGACGCAGCCGAAGGAGAAGGCGACGCCGCCGCAGTTGGTGGAACTCAGTGGTCAAAGCAGTGGTCAGTGTGGTCGAGGCCGTGGTGAAGGCCAGACTTGGGATTTAGAGGGTCTCTTTCAGCAGGAAGTTCGCCTAAGTAAA